CATGATTGTTTTGCTGTAGGAGAGGCTAGGCCAAAGGCCAGGGTGCCGGGAGCCGGTCCATCCTTGCTGTTGAGAACCTAGCAAGAGAACATGGACACAGAACTTGGCTGGAGATCCTAACCAGAACTTGGCTAGAGATCCTGGCTAGGCTGCTGATCAACTGAACGCTGTCTCTGTGTCATTCCTTCTTCGCCGACTCCGTCCACACCTTTGGGGACCCCTGGACCTGGTGGGGCTGGACCCCAGCATCTGGCGCGGTGGTGTATGCAGCAAATCATTAACTCAGCTAGTCTGGGTTTTCAAACCCTGCACATATCAAAAAAGGTTTGGCTTTTGACCAACTTCTGAGAGAGACCATCTAAACCAGTGGTTCTCAACCTGTGGGTCGCGACCCCCTTTGGGGTCGCCTAAGACCATCAGAAAACACATATATTATTACATACTGTTTTTGTGATTAATCACTATGCTTTAATTATGTTCAAGTTGTAACAATGAAATTGGGGGTCACCACAACATGAGGAACTGTATTAAAGGGTCGTGGCATTAGGAAGGTTGAGAACCACTGCTCTAAACCCTTGGACTATCTTGCCTCATAAGAGTATCTTTATTTTCCTGGGTCAGGGTAGAAGGAGAAAGGAGTAAGGGCTATTGGAAATGGGGTAAAATGTTCTGAAGTTGATCATGGTGATGGTTGCACGGCTCGTTGAATAGACTAAAAACAAATGAATTATAGACTTTAAATGGGTGAACTGTAAGACATGTGAATTAATATCTCACATCATGGATAATCCAACAGGAATGGTAGTCCTGCCCTCCTCTCACCTTCATGACATCATCTTGGGTCCTGCCCATCCAATCTCTCTGAACAACCCCACCCGCCGCTGCTCCATAGCTCAGCATCACAACCCATGTTCCCCTGTATGAATGGAGGGTGTCGCCTGTTACCTGCGTTTGTTTGATCAGCTGATGGAGCTCGGTGAGAAGTTCTGCGATTCGGGAATCAGCCGACACGAGGGCCATGGTACATATGGCGCCTGGGGCAGAGGGGAAACAGAAGAGAACCTTGTTAGTGTTGTTATGGGTTAAACTACTGCTCCCTCAAAAAGGATATATTGCCTGGCTGGTGTGCCTCACTGGTTGAGTATTGACCTATGAACCAGGAGACCACAGTTCAATTCCCGGCAAGGGCACATGCCCAAGTTGCAGGATTGATCCCCAGTGTGGGGTGTGCAGGAGGCAGCCAAACAATGATTCTCTCTCCCTCATCATTGATGTTTCTGTCTCTCTTTTCTTCTCCCTCATTGGTGCTATTTCTATCTCTCCCTCTTCCTTCCTCTGTGAAGTCAATATATATATATTATGTATATACATGTATACACACACATATATATGTGTGTATATATATGTATGTGTATATGTGTGTGTGTGTGTGTGTGTGTATATATATATACACACACATATAGATAGATACATACATACATACAGTGGGGCCTTGACATACGAGTGTCCCGACTAATGAGTTTTTCGAGATATGAGCCGTCTCTCGGCCGATTTTTTGCTTTGAGTTGCGAGCTGAAATTCGGGTTATGAGCCAGCTTGATACCCCACCGCTAGTTGGCGCAGCGAACGTCACAGTGAACGCCACAACATCAGCCCAGCATCAGGTGTCTCACTCGTTCACTTTATGCGGTTAGCTCTTAGTTGAAGCATCAGTGTTGTGCTCGCATTTGTGCTTGCAGTTACTTTGCAAAACTTCGTTTTTTCAACCATGGATCTGAAGAAAGTAAGTGCGAAGGACAGTGCTGAGAAGAAGAAGCGGATGATGTGCATTGAATTAAAGAAATTATCGAAAAACATGACCAAGGTGAGCGTGTAATCGACTTGGCGAAGCAGTACGAGCGCAGCACTTCTACGACCTGCACCATACTGAAGCAGAAGGAGTCGATACAGGCTACAACTCCAGCCAAGGGCGTTAAAATAATTTCTATACAGCGGACATCGATCCATGAAAATATGGAGAAGCTGCTGATGGTGTGGTTAATGGAGAAGCAGCGCAGGAGATACCGTGACGAAGGCTATAATCTGCGAGAAGGCACGAGCTATTTACGCTGATTTGCTGCAGCAGACCCCAGGCACTTCAATAGACGAGGCATCGGGTGAGCCGGTTAAAGCCAGTCAGGGCTGGTTCGAAAATTTTAAAAAGAGGACCGGCATTCACTCCGTTGTCAGACATGGTGAGGCAGCGAGCGCGGATATAAAGGAAGGTGATATCAACGAGCTCATCGAGGAGCACTCCGAGGAACTGACAGCGCAGGAGCTAAAGGAGCTACAGACACAGCAGCACACATTGGTTTTGCAGGAAACAGATGACACGAAGGAGGAGGAGGAGGAGAAGGAGGAGAAGGAGGTTATCGCTATAAGTGAGATAAAGGAAATGTTGGGCATGTGGGAGAAACTTTCAGATTTTATTCAAAAGAAACACCCAGAAGAAATTGCAACTGGGTGTGCGATGGAGCTATTTAATGACACTTGCCTAATTCATTTCAGAAATATTCTGAAAGGGAGGATGAAACAGATCTCATTGGACAGGTTTTTATCGAAAACTCCTGTAGATGAAAGTGATGAAAGCGTGGTGAAAAGGGCAAAAGTCAGCAAATAAGATTCAGTTATTCAG